ATTCAAGTTTTGTGCAAAAACGCATGATCGCTCCGGCTCGCCTGGTGCGTTCCAGCCTAGGTTTAGTAGAGTCTTAGAATTCATCCAAATTTATGCTCTTCCCGTATGGATGAGGTTGAAGAGTTCAGTACTGAGAGCGAACTCACGTAAATAATGACATGTGCAAATGTCAATGGGGAATTACGGATTAGGGCTTAGGGATAGAGAGAAGGCACTCAGGACAAAATTCCCCATCATCAGCAGCAGTTTTCACAATTCACACATAGCCGAGCCGAGTTTTATTAGTTGCCGAATAGAACGGACTTGGGGATAGTAGATGGGAGGAGTGTTAGTGTGATGTGGGCTTCGACCGCAAGGACATGGAGCGGGAGAGAGACTGGGATGGGCGGTAATTGCTACAGTCGGCTCGGCTCGACTCGGCCGGTCATGCATGAATCTCAAAAAAATTTTCTTGGCAGTGTCAGGTAACGCTAGTTCACGGTAACACAGATATTCGGTGTAACAAATGGGAAGGGGGCAGGTGGGATGCTATTGTTTTCGTCAGCAAGGGGTAGAGACAGGGAATGAGGTTGCGATAGGTGGATTTTTTCGTTATGTGGCGTAGATTTTTTATGTATTTGCTAGATCATGTAGATACGGAGAAAGGAAGGGAGGGGTGGAGGCGGATGATAGGTGGAAAAGAAGAGGTAGTTTGCTGCTGGTTTTTGCTACGGGGAATCAAATAGCAGTGGAGCTCGTGCACATTTGACCTTTGCAAAAGCACGACCATGTCCAGTCAAAGGAGCTCTCATACCGAGATTGGAACTCTTAGCTGCACTAGTTGGAGTCAGGCTACTTAGCTTTTTTCGCAAGCAGCTCAACTTGAGCGACGTATCATTCTACTTGTGGAGTGATAGCAAATGTGTATTACACTGGATCGGGTCGAAGAAAGAAATCAGTTCCAAATCCGTCGCAAATCGCTTGACAGAAATCAGAGAAATGAAGGGACCGTGGAATTACGTTCCTACACACGAAAACCCACCAGATATAGCGTCACGAGGAAGTGTACCACGAACACTTTAAACTCATCAGCTGTTCTGGACAGGCCCACAGTGGTTTAGCCTTCCGAAGGAGGAATGGATCAAGTGGGAAGAATCGGAAAAAGAACAGTATTCGGAAGAAGTTGAGGAAGCAGAACAGCTCGAAAACAGAACAAGAAAGACGTTTTCAAAACAAGAAGAGAACTTGCCAATGGCAGCCAGTGCAGTTTCTGAATTAGTACAGCCCGCGCAATGGATGTACCCGACTCGCTTCAGCAGTTGTAGAACAATGCAAGGGAACTTAGCAAAAGCGATCCGCTTCACAAAGAACCTTCGCTCAAAGACAAGAAAACGAGCAAGTTATGAAGACTACAGGAAAGCAGAGATGCTTCTCCTACAGCAAGCCCAATTTGGCAATATCTCTGAGGAAGAGATACGTAAGTGGAAACTCGTCAGAGACGAAAATCAACTGTGGAGAAGTAACGGAAGGATTCTCAACTCACAACTCCCACGAGATCGCAAATCTCTCATTTATCTTCCGCGATCACAATGGATCCTCATTGTTTGATATAATCATGAATCACAACTTCACAGTGGAGTTGCGCATACTCTGGCACAACTGCGACCAGCAGTTTTGGATGCCGAAAGGAAGAGCTGTTGTCAAGAAGACAATCAACCACTGTCAAGGCTGTCGAAGATGGAAGGCAAAGCCATATCAATTACCGCAGTTTCCTGCACATTCGAAAAATCGAGTAAATCCGTCAGGAGCCTTCCAACATATAGGGATGGACTACATGAGTCCAATCAACGCAGCAACAGTGAATGTACCAAGTAAGCGGTGGATCTGTCGTTTTACTTGCCTGACTACACGAGCAGTACACTTAAAAGTTGCTTGGTGTCATCAGAAGCATTTATAAACTGCTTTCGATGATTTGTTGCTAGAAGCGGAGTCCTCGATTCAGTTCTATGCGACAACACAATTCAATCCAAGTTGGCAGCTAAGACAGCCGAAACTGTAATCAAACACATCAGCCGAGAACTAGAAGATTACGGTTCAACAAGTGCTATCGATTGGAAGTTTACAACCGAATCAACGCCATGGAAAGGTGTCTTGTATGAAAGCTTGGTGGGTCTCGTCAAGGAATCGTTTCTAGTACCGTAGGCCAGAAGCTACTGGAACAGAAACAACTACATACGTTCTAAAGTAGGAATCCTAAATGTTCGACCACTTGCGTATGCGGAGGAAGATAGTAGCGAAACAATCCGACCCATCGATTTTCTGATACCGAAATCAGAACTCACGATTCCAGTCACCGAAGAAAAAGAGCAGAATTTCCAAGTCACTGTC